GAGAGAGAGAGAGATATCTTTCATGAACATGAAGGAAAGGCGCAGTTGTTGAAATGGACACCATCATTCATTTGAAAATGCAATGCTGCAAGTTTAGTTTTTTTTTTTGGAAACCATTTCAACTAATTCCTACTTTTTCTTTTTTTCTTCTTTCACTTGAATGACCTCAATTTATAGTAATATCCCATGCCCGAATTTAAGTGCATTCTCCTTGTTTTCAAGTCTTAGTATTTATGTGGATGTCTTGAAAAGCCAGATGCTTTAGGGTGCTTCCTTTTTTTCCTAAGAGTACATTTGCAAATGGTGTTTCTTTTCAACATACATGAAAGCAGATACAGAATACGTTAAAATGCTTACAGCATTTTCAGCAGAGAGAGCCCTTTCGATGGGTGGCATTTCTCCACCACAAGCGGTCATTATTCCTCCAAAAGAGTCACATTTCTCTATATCAAATTTCTCAATGTCAGCAACAGAACGAAACTTGTATTTGGGGAGTTGGCGTATGTCTTCTTCAGATGCACCTTCCTGTTTTGGAGAAAGGTATGATATACTCAGTAAAAAGATCAGACAAAAACCATGATTAGGGAAATTAAAATCTCATTATGGTCTTTCTAATATGCAAGAGAAAGTATGCTATGATCCAAGGGACAGTGATTAATAGATTACTTCTTTTTGGGAAATTTATCACAATATACCTAAATTTTCAACAATTTAACCATTTACACTTTTTAAGCATTCCAACCCATGAAGATGACCATTTCGATGGGTATTTTGAAATTAAATAATAGGATATGAGTTAAATGTTAAATAGTTAATACTTCATATGTATTTTGATAAATTTCCCTTGCTATTTTCATAATATCACATTCAATATATGTTCAATAAGCTAAACAAACTAATTATAGGCTATAATGTCGTTAAACCAATCCATTAATCTAAGGGTGCAGTTTGTATAGAGCCTAGGGTCTAAACAATCCAATTAGAGCCTACCTTCAAATAGTGTCGAGCAATGTGGTTTCAATACTGGAAATCGTTTTGATAGTCTTAAAATATATTTTCATATTTATTTATAAAGTTTAAAGCTTAAAAAATAGTGTAGATCGATGATATCTATGAAAACTTGAAAATCTTTAAAATTGACAGTCCAAAAATGCATTACAACATATACTATTTCCAAAACTTAAAATCATTTTTTTTCTCATGTCCATGCATCTTGATGTCGAGATGATCACTTTGACAATATTTGAGCATCAAACAACCTCTTCTAGTGAAAGTTTTGAGGTAGGCTCCAATTTGATTGTTTAGAACCTCAGCTCTATATAAACTTTTCCCTTAATCTAATGAAACTCATCCATTGGTGTCACCAGTGTTCAGTGAAATGTAGGGCAAGGATGGAGAGAAAGGAGCGTAAATTTCGCATTTCATTGGAAGGTGATGGCCGCAAGCAACCATGCAGTACACCATTGCTCATTGGATTATTTATAATTCTCCATAATAAATACAGATATGCCCCTCACCGGACCCCAGTGTGGAGTGTGGGGAGAAATCAAGTTATCAGGTTTCATTACAAGATGAGAGGAGACAGAATACCACTACTAGCGTGCCTAACTTTTTAAATGTATCGGCCACCACAGTCTTGAGGATCACCCAATGAGCAGCCTAAATTTGACATAGTCCAATATTAGGATAACCCGGTCATGATCATTATTACTAGGCTACTGATCTCTGAGGATAACGCGTCATAATACCCTAAAATGAATGACTGGGCCCTCTGTGAGCCAATATCATATTACTGCCCAATTTTACTAGACCCTGCCCCACCCATTAGATTTGAGATGCTTGGTTTGAATACCCAGGTTTCAAACTTATATTCAAGGATAGTGAACAAATCTCAAGGGGTCTGGCATTCAATCTCTGGAATTAGAAATCACAATACCTAGAATGAATGATTGGGCCCTCTGGAAGCTAGTGTCATATCACTACCCGATTTTCCTAGACTCTCACCATCACTCACCCTAAGGGGCCCATCTATGGTTGTTGGAAACGCTTGTGATTCCAAATCGCTTCAGCAATTGGAATAAGGAATCACGGGACGATTCCTATGGTTGGAATCGTCCAAACAATGCAAATCACCTGTTGCATGATTCCCACTATCGGAATCACGATCCAATAGAATAGGAATCGTGTGTCCCATCTTGTTGGAATCAGTATCACATAAATTTGTAATGCCTTTCTGGACTTGCAGATCAATCCACTCTGATCAATGCCATCCAAAATCACGATCCAATAAAAATAAGAATCTTGATTCCTATATTGTTATTATCATAATAAACCCATCAATTTAGAATCGAGAGTCCTACCTTTCAAGAATCATGCACCAATCCACTCTAGACCATGCCAGAAGTTTTAAGCAAGAAAAGATTTAAAGTTTTATATTATTTATAAGCATGATTCTGGACTCCATATATTGAGTACTATTATCCGGATCAATGCCTTTGAATGCCCTATCCTAACAATGGTATCAATGTATTGAGTGCCCTTTAACGTAGTTCTCCACAACTAATAAAAACAAGGTCGAGCTTTATTGGGTATCTAGTTTCTTGGAGTTTCTAGAACTCCAAGAAAACAATATGTTATACGTGTTTCTCATGCTTATTTTGAGGACAAAACGAGGAATTGCATCTTCTAAAAAGAAGAGAGTCTTTGAGATGCATATCTTGAGCTCTTAGAGCTCCGTATGCTTCAATACTTCATTGAAAGACCCTTTCAACATTAGGGTCTATCGAAAGTGAGAAACCAAACCAGTATGTTGTCTGTGTTTTTTATGCATCTTTTGATGATGAAAGAAAAATATGCATCTTCTCAACTTGAAAACGAGTTTCTATGATGTGGACCTCGAGTTCCTAGAAAGCCATGCATGTGCTTTGATCCTTTATTGGAAAACCCTTTCAACATCAAGGTCTATCAGAAATGAGAAACAATTTATAATTTCGTGCAGAGGGCGATGAAGTGGTTAAATACTTACGATTGATACCAACAAATACCAACAAAGCTCAAGTTGAAAGTTGAAGATTCTGGTTGACCCTTACCAGCAAAATACATACTTTGCTAATAAATCAAAAAACCTAGAAATTTGCATTTGAATTTCAATTCCGTGTTATGAGAACATCGACTCCATGTTGATCAAAACATTGTTTTGTGCATCTATGAACTGCGGGTTTTGACGTTGCACATATAGCTTCCAAAAAACATTGATTCCGTAGTCCTAAAAATTGGGACCAAGGTCTCATAATACATTGAATCCCAGTCTTGTTCACCTATGAATCGCAAATTTTGTGAGATGGATCTAGATTCCCAAGTTCCAGGAATCAGGATTCAAAAAAATATTTGGAACATGATTCAAGAAATTGGAATCATGATTCCTATCTTCTGAGAATCGCGATGCATCCTAGGAAACGTGACATCGCAATTCCAAACAGGAATTGAGACCTCAATACACGATTTCGGTAACTATCCCATCCCATTTAGGTTTGACAATGCATTGAACAGTCAGGTTTGCATTATATGATTAAAGAACAGTGCAGGAAGAACCCATCTCAGGGGTGGGCTGGTATTTGAATTGGAAAGAAGCTCAAGGATTTTAAGTAAACTGAAAGCTCAGAACAAAGTGGCATCCAAGAAAGCTCATGAGTCGAAGGACAATACGCTGGCTGTGATCCTCAAACTAAATATGCTAGAAGGGATGGCCCAATCATCAATAAGGGCAGAACTACCAGCAAAAAACTGTGCAGCACATGGCCTCAAAAGGAAATCCACTTAATACGAAAGAAGTAAAGCCCTCCAAAAATAAAACATTTTTTAAAATAAAAGTGATAAAAAAGACAAAACATGAGAAAATGAGAAAAAGGAAAGCAAATAGAAAATTTTAAATGCACAATCTATGAAACACTCTCGCAATAAAAAAAAAAATAGAACTATACAATGCAATGAAAAAAAAAGTTTCAAAAAAAAAAGTAATGAAAAAAAAATACAATATGATTTATCCAAATAAAAATGTGAAAATCCATGCATAATATGTACTGGCTTAGTGTCAGGCATTTTACACAAATAAATTAAACACTTACATACAAGAAACAAAAATTTTGTATTGATACCTTTATAAGTTGGTTCATGGAGAAAAATTAACGTATTAAATGCAGACATTAAACTTACATAGAAATTAAAACACATGAATGAGAGAGAGAGGGAGACTTGTTTTTGGAGTAATGGCCCTACAAAATTCAGATAGGACTCCAATCATTGGATATCCACTGCGTTGGAGATGATCCATAGCTCTGCTCGATAAACAATGACAATTTTCATGTGAAGCTTTGGACGATCTCCACTGTTTGAGGCAGAAATCTGACGAAGATCTCACACACTGTAGGACCCAGTAGTTTTCTTTTTGTTATCGAATTAGCACAAAAGTCTCTTTCCCCATATAAGAATCGCCAAAACATTCTCTTGCATAACCAGACTTTTAGGGGACCAAGAAGAGTCATGTACCTAATATACATGCTAAAACTTTGATCACATCTTCCATACGAGCCAACTAAAATATAGTTTGATCACCATGTGGTTTGGTTTTCCCTTCCACATCCTCCCACTGATCACAATGTATCAAAGTCCATATATTATAAAGTATAAATACAGACATATTTAGCTTTGTGGCACAACAAGCAAGCCTTTTCAAAGAAGTAGTCCAATCCTAAACCCTAATCGCTAAAAGGCGGCCAACTCAGACCAGGAGTACTGGGCCTGAACTAAGAAGTAAGAAGAAACAACTAACACCATCCAACGAGAAAGACACCAATCACTAGCCTTTTAGGCGGGGACCCATGTGCTTTCCAGGTAAACTCTAGTGGTGAAGGTCTTCATGCATTTAGAGATGACTCATGTGCAGTTTGTTATATCTTGATGAAACTTCAATTCATCAACTCATCCATAGGTCAAAAGTCAAAACCAATGTCATTGAGATTTGAGAGCAACACGAGAAGTCCTACCAACCGATAGTGAAATCCCAAACATGCCGCAGGCCTCAAACTTTGCAAAATGATTAATGAAATAAATAGCAACAAAACCTTATTTTGCTACTTGGCTGATAGATTTCGCCCCAATTCATTTGGGGCATATGCAATTAAATAATTATGAGGTTCTCTAGCCACACACTATGTACTGTCTACTTCACTTACAAGCCAGTGGTGTTAGAGACTGCCAAAGTGGTAACATATGACATCCTAAACATCAAAGTGCATTTCCTCATCTATACACCAGCCCCAATATTTTTTGATACCTAACCATCCAGAGCATAACATTACACTATTGACCAACACTCTTTTTCCCCCCTGACGCAGTGCTGTCAATCCCAAGACGGGCCGATAAATCTACAAACCCATTTTCCATCGTTAGCACAAGCTGAAAAGTCATATAATAATGTGGTATAAGATGCCAATGAATAGTACAACACGTAAATTCTCATTATCCTCTCTAATAGTGACTCGCCAAGCAGGGCTATGTACACAAATCAGACTACTGAAAGCCTCTGAATTCTTGGAATTGCATAAAGAGTCAAACACAATGAATTTTGACTCCTTTTAAACATGAAAAGGAAAGAGAGAAAATACCAGAAACCCACAATAAAGACAATAGCATATTGACAAACAGTGATGAGAATACACTCAAAGCATCCTGAAGTTTTCAGGTTCATGAGATAGCAATCAAACAATCTTTAGATTGACAAACCTGATCTGCCACCGCATATAAAATTGCAATAATGCATGGTAGGCAACAACAGACGGCTATGCCAATGACACATGCCAGAGCAACACAGAAGACCACAAAGAACACATCAAACGCAAGAAATATCACACAAAGCCTGTCATCCAAAAGAAAAAAAAAGTATTAACAATGATAAATTGAGATGGAATACAATGATATGGCAAATGATGCAAATCAAATAATAGTAGTAACGCACACTTTCACGTACCAGTACAGTTGAGGTGCATCATGTGTCAAAGCCTGACCCCCAGCAGAGACCCAATAAAATCCGATAATCCACCAAAGAAATGAAAACATGGTATTGGCCGACTCCAGATGCTTGGCAACACTGCCATGAGCAGGATTTGTGGCAATGAGATTTCAATACGATTAAAGTTCACAAACGGCTCACCCTTTGAACCCCAATCATAGAATCTCTTATAAATAAAGTTAACTGCTTGAATCAAACAAATTAAAGGCATGAACAGAGGAAAGCAAACTTACACATGCTTCGAGTATTCCAAAAAATTGATGTGTTAAAATCCAGATAAACAAACGTCAGTTTATTTAGAGCTTTAGCACAAAGGAAACCTTATAGATGTATCCATCACGAATGGTGTACCAACAAACAATCAAGGGATTAGCCTCATGTGTCTATCTCATCATCATCATCATAGCCTTTCCCATCTAATTGGGGTCGGCTACAACAATCGTAATCTGCCATTCTGATCTTTCAAGGGTCACCCTAGTATAAGATGATAATGTAGATTTATGATTCATGGAAAGTTTTGGCAAAATTTTATGTTGGCGGTCTACCTCGCACAACCTACCTCCTATATCCGAGCTTGGTTCAGGGTAAGGGAAAGTTTAAGGTCCTCAGGTGTCTACTTGTATTACTCTAGTAACATGAGTAAGCGCCACTGTAATTTCATTTTGCTAACAATAATCAGTCAAATTTTGATGAGTCACAGCAAGGAACCTCTACTGAAGGATAGCGCTTGACAAAAGAAGGCCATCACTCAAGAGCCACTCCAATAATAAAGAAGCCTGCCCCTGGGATTCATCCCAATTGTTTTAGTAGGGCGAAAGGCTTTTTAAAAGTCAGTCGGTAAGGATTGGTATGATTGTACCAATTAAGTTAAGATGGTTTGAACTCAATATATCATCTAGTCCTGATTGGAGGCATTCAAGCTCTCGAATAAAAAAAGGGTTCCTCGACAAAGAGGCAAAGCAACCAAAATGCCCTTAAGCGCTAGAAGATTTTTGTAGATAAAAATAGCACTCTCGGTATCGCCAAAGATGGACGAGGCTAAGCGAACTTCCAAAGTTGTGCGATGTAAAAATGCCTCGGTAGGGTAGCACTCCACCTTAGAGTGAAGCACCCACGCGAGCTGGTGTGGACGAAGCAGAAGCGAGAATGTCGGCTTGAGTAACACAAACATTGGTGAGAATCCAATGCCTGGAAAACCTAAGGGTTCCTCCGCAAGGTTCATCCACGACAGCTCGCATGCTCCCTCGTGAGTTGGATCCGTTGTATTTCTCATCTTTCAATTCTTGTTTCTTAAGAACAGGACAGAAGGAAAGACTTCTATCAAATAGCTAATAGCTAACCGACTGCTTGAAAGTGGAAGTGGTTAGTCTCTTCACCCCTTAAGACAAGTAAAATACCTCTAGGTTGTTCGAGGTAAAATACCCCTAGGTTGTTCGAGCTTTTCCCGGAAGTATGACATGGGTTACTTCAGCGCCGTAGCGCCTGGTACTCGGACATTGGCTCGAGGCATTTCCTCTACCCCTTCTTACCCTGAAAAAAAAAGCAAGGTCACCTTGCGTTCTTATGCTCTATGCCCGCTGTACTTGCACCCATGTAGCATGCCAACTACATTATTGCTATTATTTGTAAACATCATCATCATCATAGTCATCATCATTATCATCATCATTATCATCATCATCATCGCCTTCATCATCCTCGTCGTCATTGCCATCACCAACATCATCATCATTATTATTGTTTGCCATTGAAAGAATTCAACAGAAGTAATAGGGATCCTTTGGATCTGAATAGTATGTAAACTAATATACTTGGGGAAGCAAAAAGTATCACTTCATTTATGCCTTAGTGCATGTTGTTAAGAGCTGCTTTGAAATCCACAAAACCAAGACAATATCTAGATTTTGAAATTATTAAAAAATAATCAAATATCAAACATTGAGAAATTTAACTGATTTCAAGTGGAACTCATATTTCATACCTCAGCATAACAAAACAGAGTACAACTTCAATTATTTTCGAAACAAGTAAATCTTCAATTCTATATATCACATCTCAAAAATACTTTATAATTAAAAGCTACAGCCATATTCTGCATTCAATTATCTAACACGTTAACAGTATGAGCTACACCAATGCAGTTCCAACTAATTCACCACCCATTAAAAGCATAAATCCCACAAGTATGATTCCCTTTCTTTCTTTTTTTTGGGGGGGGGGGGAAAGTGCATTCATGTGCTAAACAAAGTGTAAATAAGTTTAGAAATTAACAATTGTACAATTAATTCAGTACTAGTAAAAAATAAAGTGAGGATTGCACAAATAGTTCATGTTCAGAATTATCCCTTCCAAAAACATAACCCCGCATTCAACATGCCACAACCAAATGACAATACACATCAACGAAACCACAAAGAATCACAGATAAATAAACAAATAAAAGATAAAAACAATAAAAGATAGAGGCAAAAGAGTTTTTTATAACGGGCTCAAGTACCTGGTCCTCTCCTCTGACTGAATTCGCTCCTCATCCAATTCATGGCCATCATCTCTCTCTTGGTGAACTCCTGAGCCTAAATTCCCATTCTCCCCATGCTCCAAGGAATCACGAGAACCATGCCTCCTCCTATACTCAACGCACACACATATTATATGCAACAGACATTGGAAAGCATAACCCACAATCCAAAGCCTCAATGGCATCGATGGGTTCTCATCTCTGCTCAATAAAAGCACAGCCATGGCTACCACAACGAAAGCCAGGTTCCATATAATGTCAAGGACCACGACTGGTCTTGAATAGGCCCAATCACTCTGACGCTCTTCTAGTTGCTCAGCCGCTGTCTCTCTAACCAGCATCGATGGCTCTCTCATCATCCTCCTGCTACTTGCACGCCTCAAAAACCTAGCTGCTCCTCTAATGCTTGGACCCCTAAATGGCCTCCTCTCTGGTGAGCTACCAAGGAGAGGGGTTGTGTCTATGACTACATCTGTAGAAGGATTCGAAGACCTGGTCGTTGTTGCAGTATCCATTTTTCAGATATATTATCACCGTCAAACCCTAATCAAGCCAAGTTAGGGTATCCATTCCTGGCATTAAATGAACACCGAGGGGATTCAAAACCCTAATAAATTGGATTTAAACCAAACCCTATTCAATCCAGATTGCAGTAATTGTAATGAATAAAATATTTATTCACCAACCAGAATTCCCAACAAAGCCCTGATCAATCAGGCCAGAAATAGCCAATTTCTTCGAGTAAACCCTAAAAAATATAAGAACATCAATTAATAAGCAGAAATAGTAGGCTATTTGGAAACGAATATAGGAGATCATAAACCAGAAGCTCTGGTTACTGGTTAACCTGGAAATGCAACAAATCACACCAAATCAATCCTAAACTACGCAGAGTCGGCCACAAAAACCCAATCCAAACCCCAATTTTCAGAAGCATTTACAAATAAACCAAATTTTCAGATAATCTGAATATCAAATGCAGATTAATTAAGAATAACCAACCATACCTTGCTGCGAATCCTATAATATCCAAAACCCTAGAAATGGGCAGCGATTAGTAGCTTCGTGAGAGGGAAATGCTAAACCCAAAACCCGGTTTTTTCGCTTGATCACGGTACGCTTATTTGCAATAATCGTCAAGGGAACTCTGGTTGGCAGGAGAGATTGAATGCCGAAGTTTTAGGTGCAAATGTAGAGAGAGAAAACAACGTAAAGTCATTGATAGATAAATGTGCAAAGAAATGGATAAGAACTGAAGAAAGGGAATAACCTGGAGGGGGAATTGTAGAGAGAGAGAGAGAGAGAACTGGGGAACTGAATAGGTACCTGCAGAGAGAGATCGATGAATAAATCTAGAGAGAGAGAGAGGGAGAGTGAGAAATCTAGAGAGAAGGAGACATGGCGTACAAAATAAGGAAGCTCCCACGATGCGGGTGAGCCCCACTCCATTTCTTGAAACCACGACAAATTTGAAGCTCAGTATTCTTTTTTTTTTTGCCATTTTTAGAGTGAGTCCACGAAAGGAGTGGACCATAATGTACGTAAATGCCCCTGTCCGATGTCCAACTCTCGGCAAGCTTTTTGTGTTTTCTCTATAACATAAAACTAAGGCAAATCACAAAAAAAAAACTTTTATAATAATTAAAAATATTACTTGTAAGTAAAAAGTTTACATCTTTTTTATCTTACAACCCCTTAATTTCTTTGACTCTAAATTTTTTATCTAAATAAATATTAAAATGGCACCCTATTCATATTTCATCTCTCTCTTTAAAACTCTATCTCTCTCTTTTCACTTTTCATTTAGTTTACCAGCCAAGGGGTTTAGCTTGAGCTCGAATACGAACACACATTCTTATGTGTGAGAGATAAATTTCAGATAGAGAGAAATAGAGTTTGGATTTTAGAGAGAGATATGGAGTTTGAGTTTTAAAGAGAGGGATGGAGTTTTGAAAGAGAAATGATGATGTGAATGAGAGAGATGGAGTTTGGGTTTTAGAAAGAGATGGAGTTTGGGTTTTAGAGAGAGAGAGATAAAGTCGTTTCATAAGTTGTTGAGGTCAATAATACATGGTCAAAAAAGTTTAGGGGTTGAAAGATATAAAAGATTAAGCTATTTTGCTTACAAGTAATATTTTTCAATTATTGGGTTTGATGATATATAGAAGTTAAAAATAAGAGAGAATATGATATGTCCCCAAATTATATGCTATTTTCCCCCAAAGCAAGCTTTTTTTCTCACTTTTTCCTCAAAACAAAGTTTTTATGTAAATACTCCCAAAACGAAGAAGTTTTGTTTTTTTTAGACGGAAATGCTTTTTTTATACACAAATTTGGTCAGATTTCACATTGACTTTTAGACCCCAATAGCACATTGCCGGAGCTCACAAGTGCTGGACTGCCCTTTGCGACTGCCGGACCACCCTTTGCAACTACCGGACCGCACTTTACAACTGTCGAACCGCCATTTGCAGCTGTCGGACCGCCCTTTGCAAATGCCGGACTACTATTTTCAATTTGTCGGACCACATTTTGCATCGTGCCGGAGCACTACTGTCAGACCGCACTTTATACAGTGCCAAAGCGCTACGACTGGACCTCACTTACAAGGTGCTGGAGCCCCCTATTTTGGTGGGATAGAGGAGAGAGAGGTGTGGGTAATATAAAAGAGAGGGAGAGCTGTTTAGGTTGTTTGTTATTTATTTTTTGGTGGGGGTTTTGCAAAAATAGTTTATTTTGCAGAAAAGAGTTGTAGTTTATTTTTTTTGTTGTAGTTTTGGGGCTTTTTTTGTAATTTTTCCTAAAACTTATATACTTCCTTTTATCCAACCGTCCATTTTGAATGAAGGGTTAAGATTGCCCCAATCACAATGTCACGTCTTTTATTTTTAATATTTTTATATAAATTATTTTTATACTAAAATTCGGGCTACCAATCCTCTATTAAACACGCACTTGTAAACAATGTGAAAAAAATATTCCCAAAAAAATAAAATGATAAAAAAAACCCTTGAATATTTAAAGGGTATCTTGATCATTATATTTTATCAATGAATTGTTTTTAATATTTTTTATTGGTGGGCCCCAATGAGAAGATGGCATGTAACAAAATTTATATTCATACAATTTGTATAAAAAAATTAAAAATAAAATACTCCAAGGTGTTAGATCTAAGATCAAACGGCGAGAGGCTCACTTTATAAAAAATGGGTGGATAGATGCTAGGAGAAGCATAAAACTTCTATGTTGTAGGGGAAGTATAAAAACCTTTCCTTTTTTAAAAATACTTGACATAACAAACCCCCCAATAGTGCAAAATGAACATAATTGGAACAAGCAAAAAATAACCTAAATGAACATTAATATATATTACCCTATTGTGGCCATCGAGTAGACGCTTTACATGTTGCCGTGTTGTGACCAATTCATTTACACCGACTATAGTGAATAGGCCGCACTGGAACTTCCTGCGATTCAATGTGCTTCTTTCTAGGTCGGCCACAGACTCGTATTGAGTTAGGTAAAAGTACTCTTATTCCATCTGGAGGAAGTTGCCCACGCATACGCCCAGATAAATCGATAAAGTTAACTGGCACAATAGATTCGAAATATGTTTCACGAAACTTTGCAAACGTAAAATAATATTCACAATAGTCAATGGGATCCATATTCATCAATTTAAAGCTTTTACAAGCATGCTTGCAGGTCAAACCCGTTATTTGCCAACCCTGATATTCACATTCTCGTGCAATTATATTTACATTATAATTAATATGATCACTACTTGCTTCAAACCTTGCTCTACTTGAAACAATGATCCTAATGAAAATTGATTGTTTTATGATATTTCTCAATTCGTCTTTTGCATGCGGGGTAAGTGTCGTAGTTCAGGTTCCAGCTTCCAAGCTACGAGTGGCCATTAGTTTCATGATTTGTCTCATAATCAAATCAATGCACTGAAAAATGAGCATATCTCGTGCTTATATAATCCAGTTGGTTATATCGCTTACCTTAAACACTTTGTTACTTGGTCATATTGCTTATACAAAGTGTACTTCGAATCAATCATCTTGACCTCATGATGTATGAATATAAGAAAAAATAGATTTCAAGTATTAGAAATAGTGCATCTTGTAATGCATGTTTTAGACAGTCATTTTTTTATATTTTCAAGTGTTTATAGATCTACACTATTTTTTAAGCTTTAAATCTTATAATTAGAGATGAAAAAATATTTAGTATCATATAAATTCTCTGTAGTGAAACGACATCTTCCAACACCATTTGAATGTGTGCCTTATTTTGATGGTTCAAGACTTTAGACTTATACAAACCACACCCATTTTAAAAGGGTGCGATTTGTATAGAGCATAGGTTATAAACAATAAAAATAAAGCGCACCTTCAAATAGTATCGAGAAATGTGGTTTCAATACTATAAATCTTTGTGACAGCCTTAAAATATATTTTTATCTCTAGTTATAAAATTTAAAGCATAAAAAATAGTGTAGATCGAGCAGATCTATAAAAACTTGAAATTCTTGAAATTTTACGATAATAAAATATATTACAAGATGCATTATTTCCAAAACTTGAAATCCATTTTTTTCTCATGTCCATGCATCTGGATGTCAAGATGGTAAATTTGAGGATATTTAGGCATCGAAACATCATCTTCTAGTGAATTTTTTTATGTGGACTCTAATTAGATTGTTTGGAGCCTCAATTCTATATAACCTTGTTTCCTTTAAAAATAGTCATGCATAGGTTTTATTTTACATTCAAAATATATTTTTGTAATTTTTAAATTATTAAATATTTCCAATTCAAATATCTATTGTTCATTGGCTGGTTCTTTTAGGACATGACAAAGTGATTATAACTTCTAACATTGAATGTCTGAACTGGTTTTTCATTAAAATATTGGTTCATGTATGCAATGTCTTTAAAAAACAAGAAAGGAAGTTTTGACATGTAATTCCAAAACAAGAGAAGCCAAGAGATTGTATGCCTCCTAAAAGCATATCATTGATCCACTATGGAGGAGAAACTCATCTTAGGAGCATTATTAGTGACAATTGTCACAATCATGACATTATCGTCCATAAATTTTATTACGACATTGTCGACTGGGTCATTATTTTGGATGTTTATTCTAATTTATTTTGAATACAAGAGTGTTGAAATAACATATTACTTCAACTGGAATAAGATATGCTATTTGCAATATTTGTTAAATCCGGTCTTATTTAGATATTCAATTGAATGTTTAAGAAGTTATAAAATTATTCCAAATTTCAAACTTCTTAAGACAATATTCAAGCTATTTTTCAGATAATTATTATTTTCTAAAATTAAATGGCTAGGTTATTAGGAACCCAAACCTGGGTCAAGTAACTTATTTCAATCGACAGACCTATTTGAGCCTTGTGAAAAGTAATAATAAAACCTTTGGGAACTAAGGAGAGTCAAGTAATACCAATATTTTTGTTTCGGACACTGATGCATTTAACCCTTGGCATAATTAACTCGGGTGAGTTTTGTTTCGGACACTGATGCATTTAACCCTTGGCATAATTAACTCGGGCGAGTTTAAGTCAGAGCTAGTGATTTATCAAACGCATCCTGAATGCATTGTAGAAGGAGATGAACTGGTAAAATGGTCGGTAGAGGTTTTGAGAAAGCCAACAGATGCATTCTATTTACTCGTTCAAGTTTTTCGGGTAAAACCTAATATTGAAGTAATTTCAAGATCCCAAATTTTTGACAAAATTTTTGAGGACCTAATCTATTCAATCCATAGAGGAACAGACTAACTACAATGAAAAAGATTTGCAAGCTCTCCTCACTATGCACTTGAAATAATAAAATTAAAGATTGAATACTGACCATATAGGAATCAGCTCGGGCGCCGATATTTAATGGAAAAGGTTTATATAAGTGCGAGGCTCTAAACATTCAAGTTAGGGCGCATCTAAAAAATTTCATTAGAAGATATTGTTTTGATACTCAAATATCATCAAATTGATCATCTCAACCTCGAGATGCATGGAAATGAGAAAAAAAATAGATTTTAAGTTTTGAAAATAATGCATCTTGTAATGCATTTTTTGACAGTCAATTTTTCAAGATTTTCAAGTTTCCATATATCTGCTCGATCTACACTATTTTTGAAAATTTAAATATTATAATTAGAGATGAAAATATATTTTAAGGCTATCACAAAAATTATCAGTATTAAAATCACATTTCTCAACATTATTTGAAAGGTGTGTTTTACTTTGATGTTTAGAGCCTCAACTTTGCACAAATTTAATAGTACTATATTTCAAGTTTAATTCATACTATTGAACTACTAAAAAATAAAAAATGAAACAAAAAAGAAACAAAGACAGTCTAGTTTCCAGAGGGTGACATTTAAGTGTCAACAAACTCAAAATTCAATTTTTTATTTGAAAATAATCACCATATTGTTATTACTATGCGGTTCTTAAAATTGAAGGCTTGAAAAAAAATAGGGAAAATTGCATATACCCACGCAACTTTAACTTCTTTAGCAACCTCTCCCCAACCAACTTTTGTATCGCAACTTTTACCCTAAAACATACTTTTCTAGCAACTACCCTCAAGTCAAATAAAATGTCAAATAAATATCAAAATACCCTCCTTTTAATTAAAATGCCTCACTCTCCTCGTTTTTTTGGTTTGGCAATAAGAAAGGCGGTCCGACATGAGGTGCACTTGGTCTGGTATGTCCAATTGCCGATCCAGAATTGTACTCTCTTTGTCGGCATAGTGTGCACACGATCAAGCACAAGGGGCCCTCGGTCTGCAAATATCCAACGCGGTCCGACAATTATTTTACCTCGGTTCGGCATAAGGTGACATCGATCCAACACTGTTTTCCCTCGGTCCAACATATTGTTCACATGGTCCGACATCTGCGCATTGGGGTCCGACAATGGTTTTATTTTACTGGTCCGACAATTTTTTACCACAGTCTGGTAGTTATCATTTGGTTATTACACGCTATAGGGATGTGAGGTGAGCTTGTATGGACAAAGGCATTTTGGTCTAAATAACTATAACTATTTGACTTGGTATTTGATAGAAAAATATGTTTTGATGTAAAAGTTATGGTAAAAAAATTGGTTGGGGGTATCACAATTTTTCCTATCAAAATATCCGAGTCGGTCTTCGAGCGGAGTATAGATACAGTTTGCTCCAGCGGGAGCGCAGTATATGCCTAAAATCCTCATTTTAAAACAGGTAGCCTCCCTCCTTTTATTTGCCGGCGCTCTCTCTCCTTTCCCTCCATTCGAAGGTATTTATATTTCCATCTCTCTCTATTTCGTTTCCCTCTATAAGAGGGTTTTGTATGGCCGCCATGAGCAAGCTTCATCATTTTCTCTGATCTCAAAAGAACGGTTTTTCCCCAATTATTTCACTGTTATTTTCCCCCAAAAACATGGCTACGAATTCGTCGTCATCTGGTGGTTATGAATTGCCATGGGTTGAGAAGTACAGGCCCGTAAAAGTTGCAGAGGTAGTGGGGAACCAGGACGCTGTTTCCAGGCTCCAAGTCATTGCAAGGGATGGGAATATGCCCAATCTCATTCTATCGGTAATAAACCCTAATTTATATAAGAGAGAGAGAGAGATTGGTCATATTTTGAAGTGTTTGGAGTGCGCCCACTTGATGCCCTTTTTTATTTGAATGGTGATTGGTGTAACAATGGAGACGTGTTTTTGATATTGTACATTGTAATTTCATGTTCAATGTTTGATTTATTGCTGGGTTATATTTACTGGTTTAGTTTGATTAAGGTTGAAACTTCTTACCGATACAAAGCAAGCGCTCAAGCTGATGTTTTCTCCTTTATTCACACCCACCTGTTTGTTTATTTGAGAAGTGGTTGACTTCCATCTGTTTACTTATATTGTCTTCATATTAAGTTATTTGCCATTCTTGGATATTTTATAAGTATGGATGCTAGTTAGGGCTGCCAATGGCCTCAGCTCAGGTCAGGCCAGGCCTGGTGCGGCCCGAGTTTTTCTTTTTCGGCTGGGCTCCAGCTCGGCCCAGAATTTATTGGCTGGGTCCAGGGTCAGCAAGACCTGAATATAAACTGCAACAAGTGGGCCGAGACTAATTACATCATCTGGGCCCCAATCCTGGCCCAGACCAGTTCCAAAAGTGGTTCTGGCCTTGCTTGGACCTATTCTTGGTGATTATGTGTGTGCGTGTGCATGTGTTTGTGTTTGTAGTTCAAGATTATCGAAATTTGATCAATTCACTTGTCGCAAACTCAGCATGATTGAAAATGCTGTTATTGCTTGTCATATCAAAGTATTTCAGAGAAAATGTCCGTATAATCAACAAAAAATAATGAATAATTGTCATAATGTTTTGCACTACAAAGCTTCTATCCTATACTTACCTACTATTTCTACTCGCATATGAACTCGCTATTATCTCAAGGATTGTATTGGCATGGCTGCTAGGGCTGATTAACACTAGTAGTTGTATCCATAGAAAATAAATGTGGATTGTGTGCATGATTTTTTATGGTAGAAGTTTATATAAGGCATCAACCTTACACTATAAAAGTAAAGTGCACCTCAAAAACCCATCGCCAAAAGTTGTTCCAACCCTGAAAAGCCCTCAAATTGATCATCTCGACCTCTAGATGTATGGGTACGGAAAGAATGACTTTGAAATTCCAAAAATAATGCATCTTGTAATACATTATCTAGACCCATTTTCAAGATTTTTATGTGTTTAGGGCGATGTTTAAGAAAACGGAAACGGACGTCTAGTGCTCGGGCGGCCCTGTAGAAAGAAGGGGGGTTATATATATATATATATTTGTTATAAATTTATGGTTTTGTATTACAAATATGCATTATAAATTGATGATTTTGCATTACAAATATGCATTATAAATTGATGATTTTGCATTATCAATTATGGACATAGCCTTACATACAATAATATTACCAAACATAGCGATACATATAGCCAAAACATAGCCATAAATACATTATAATCACAAAAAATAGCAAATTGAGAAAAAAACACTCACGAGGCATAACATAGTGCAATGTAAAGCCAACAAAAATAAAAATTAAAAAAATATCAAACTAAAAAAAAGCATATCATCATAAATGTTAAGACGAACTTCAAAAATAAACACATGGAAATGGGGGGAAAAAGAAAACACAACACAATACTCACAATAAATACGAAACCCCAAACAACACAATTGAATTTATTAACCTTTAAAAAACCCAATAGAAGTAGGATTGAATTGTGTTTGGGTATATGTGGCAATTAAAGGCCGTATGAGTGCTTGCAATTAAACTTTTGATATAATGGAACTTGAACTCAGTGGGAGTGTGGTCCTGTGTAGACTATAGTAAACAAATGATGTTTACTGATACCGGATTAGGCTTGACATGCTAGGCTAGTCGATTGAAAAAAACCCATGTTACCTGACTATAGAGATGAAATTAATAAGGGTTATAATGGATCATCCCTTTATGAGGTCGATGTATGCCTGAATGAGTGAGTCGAGGGACTGTGCGGCCCTTGTGTGTGATGGAGGCCCTCAGAGATGCGGGCCAAAGCCTCATATGCGTGCCATCACATGGCATGTACATATGATAGCCGTATCGGGAAAGCAAACCACCTTTGAGGGTGAAGCATGTACATCTGCGAGAGATTACCTCTATGCACCATAGAGCTGTGGTTGCATCAGGTCTAAGTGACCTTGGTACGTCTCTAGGGGAGAACCTGAAATCTACAGACTAGGATTACACCTCCTTGATCATTGGCTGACTTTGGCGGGCCAATCATGAGCCTCTGCGATAGATTGTTGGTCATGGGAACCGTTGGGTCAGTTTGAAAAAGCAAGTGTGGACCGTAGTTCACAGTAGAAGGTGGAGTGCTACAGAGTTGAATTATTCCTAGACCATATGAATCCAATTCCCATCAAAAGTATTTAATTATATTTGTTTTAGTGTTATTTGATTTTTAGAATTGTTATTTGAATTTTTTGAATCTCTGGGTATTTTATTTATGAAATTTGGATTTATAAAAACAAAAATATTGAATTTACAATGTTTTAATTATTCAAGGGGTATTTAAAAATTCTAGAAATCATGAATTAATTTTAGAAATGTTTTATTTGTGCATGGGGGGCCCAATTAGTATACATGGGCTTACCATTGCATCTTAGTGGGGCCCATGGAGTGCCACATAGGGTGGCACACCCCACCCGTGTCTCACTTTCTATTTTGTTGATTCAAACTTTATGGCTTGAAGGAAAAGATATTGTATTTTGGAAAGTTTGATTTTATGGAGTGTTTAAATCAAACTATGGAAAGTGTGAAGAGGCTTGTGCCTGAGAATAAGAAAGCACAATATTATTATTAATATTTTCGTATTTAATTTAATTGATGGGAAATTGATTAGGAAATGAAGGATAAAGGTTCTAACACCTTTCATATGATCTTGATGGCTAATGTATGGAATGGAAGACTCATATCTCTCACCCCACAAGTCACTCAAGATCAATGGTGCATATTTAATCTCCCTTGAGAGGCAAACCATATGGAAACCCTAACCCCCTTCAAGCACTATATAAAGGGGTGCCCTCTCCCATATTTGACACATCTAATCTCGTCTCTCTCTCTCTCTCATATGCTTTAGAGGGGCACGCCCCTAATAGATGCTCTCTCTTTCTCTTTAGTTCAATAAGAGGAGCACGACCCTAGTAGAGAAGGTCTCTCTCTGCCATGTTTCAAGGGAGGCACGCCCCACTCATTGGGATTATCTTTCTCTCATCTCCCATCTCTCACATGGCCTAAAGGGTTAAGGGTTTAGTAATGAGATGCTATCTCTCTCAACTAGGTTATCAAGGAGTAAGCCGTAGTTTGAGATATGATCTTTGTGTTATGAGTTATTGTTCCATTGGAGGGTTTGACCTATTTGCTTTTTCATGTTTGAGATTGAAAGTTGACCATTAATCCAGTGCCATTGAAAGGTGGTGACTCGGTGTGGGGTGTAATAAGCCCAGTAGAGGTAATCTATGGTATTCACTGTCTTGTTTTTTGCCATATTTATTTTGTATGTCTTTTATTATTCTCAAGCATATTGTCGTGTTTTTCTTTTGATTAGTAAAGAAGATGTCTTAGTGGCATCAAGTTTTAAATCCTAAATTTATTTTCTTTAATTCTTTTCATTCTCTTTTCTTTTTTTTTTCAATTTACTGCAGAAAAGATTTCAGGAAGAAATCCTTTGTGAATTGATAAAAATAATTATTTTATTGAGAGGTGTGCAATCTGATTTTCTGCTGAGAAAATTGTATTGTGATGTGAATGCCACTAAATCGTAGACCCACTACATGGTGTGCTTTAGGGATGTAATTGAGTGCTACTTTGAATTTTTGAGTATGTTTCAATACTAAAAAAGATTAAGAGATAAACTCTTTATGAGTTGAGAGATATCATATTTTTATCATGGGATGCTCATGTTCTATTTTACAGTAAATTGAAAGATGTGGCATGGTATCAGAGCAAAGAGAAGGAAAAAAAAAAGAAAAGAGAAGGAAAACAATTAAGAAAAAGAAAAGAGAATGAAAAGAATTAAAAAAAACAAATCTAGGATTTAAAACTTGATGCCACTAAGACCTATCTTTTATTAATCAAAAGAAAACCACACAATATTCTTGAGAATAATAAAAGACATAAGAAATAAAATTGGCAAGAAACAAGAAAGTGAATGCCGGAGATTACCTTAACTGGGCTTATTACACCCCATATTGAATCACCACCTTCCAATAGCGCGAGATCAATGGTCAACCTTCAATCTTAAACATGAGAAAACAAATAGGCCAAACCCTCAAACGGAACACTCATAATACAAAGATCATATTTTAAACTAAAGCTTACCCCTTGATAACCTAGTTGAGAGATATAACATCTCATTACTAAACTTTTAACCCTTTAGGCCATGTGAGAGATGGGAGATGAGAGAGATAATCACAATGAGTGGGGTGTGTCTCTCTTGAAACATGAGAAAGAGAGACCTTCTCTACTAAGGGCGTGCCCCTCTTATTGAACCAAAGAGAGAGAGATAACATCTACTCGGGGCGTGCCCCTCTAAAGCATATGAGAGAGAAGAGATTAGATGTGTGTCAGATATGGGAGAGAGCACCCTTTTATATAGTGCTTGAAGGGGGTTAGGGTTTCCATATGGTTTTTCTCTTAAGTGTGAGTGAATATGCATCATTGATCTTGAGTGACTTATGGGGCGAGAGATATGAGCCTTCCATTCCATAGATTAGCCATCAATATGAGCTCTCCATTTCATAGATTAGTCATCCAGATTATATGAAAGGTGCCAGAACCTTTATTATCCATTTCCTAAACCAATTTCTCATCAATTAAATTAAATAAGAAAATATTAATAATAATATTGTACTTTTTTATTCTGATGCACAAGCCTCTTCACAATTTTCATAGTTTGATTTAAACACTCCATAAAATCAAACTTTCCAAAATACAATATCTTTTCTTTCAAGCCATCAAATTTGAATCAACAAAATAGAAAGTGAGACTAGGATGGCCCCCCCATGCACAAATAAAATATTTCTAAAATTAATTCATAATATATAGAATTTATAAATTCCACTTGAATATTTAAAACATTGCAATGGTAGGCCCATGTATACTAATGGGCCCCCCATGCACAAATAAAATATTTCTAAAATTAATTCATAATTTATAGAATTTATAAATTCCACTTGAATATTAAAAACATTGTAAATTTAATATCTCTGTTTTTATAAATCCAAATTTCATAAATAAAATACCCAGAGATTCAGAAAAATTCAAATAATAATTTTGAAAATTAAATAACACTAAAATAAATATAATTAAATACTTTTGATGGGAATTGGATCCATAAGGTTTAGGAATAAATCAACTCTAGAGCACTCCATCTTCTACTGTGGACTACGGTCCACACTTGCTTTCTCAAACTAACCCAGAGGTTTCCATGACCAGCAGTCTATCGCAGGGGCTCATGATTGGGTCGTCAAAGTCCACCAATGGGAAGGCGATGTAATTTCAGTCTATAGATTTCAAGTTCGCCCCTATAGACGTACCAATGTCATCTAGACCTGATGCAATCACAACACTATGGTGTATAGGGGTAATCTCTCGTACATGTACATGCTTCATCCTCAAAGGTGGTTCGCTTTCTCGATACGGCTATCATATGTACATACCGTGTGATGGTACGTAGATGAGGCTTTGGCTTTCGTCTCTGAGGGCTTCCATCACACACAAGGGCCATACAGTCTCTTGGCTCACTCATGTTGGCATACTCCGACCTCATCAAGGGATGACCCATTATAACCCTTATCGGTTTAATCTTTATGCTCAGGTAACATGGGCATTTCTCAATACAAGCAGCTGCTCCCATTGAAATATTTAGTTTATTTGGATTTTTCATGATAGAGTAACTATATATCTGAATATACGAGCAGCTAAAAAGAATCGTGGGATTGTAGCTGTTCCCACTCAATTATAACACATATAACATATACATTCTCAGCATTCTTATGCCTATGTCATGAGGTAGTATAGCAAGTCTCATGCAATAAGTAATTCAATGCCCGTTGGTTTCGCAATATGCAAAACCTTCCTGAACCACAAAGGTTCAACCATACTAGTCTTCTTAGTAGTAAACCCATACAAACCAAGTTATCTATCCACACAACATGTGTTAAGGAGGCCTACCAAGATGGTTTTCTTATGACATTCCATATGTTAGGTAATCAAAGATTCTAAATAACTAAAAAACATGGGTCAAGGCATATAGGTATTTAAAAAACCAGTGCATGAATGAATGACAATTTTCTCCAAAGTTTATAAATACCTTCAATATCCAATGTCTTTCCCTTTTATCAAAAAGCTATTGACATGGTATGTATATTATCACAAGCAATAGTTAGATAATAGTATAACGCTGTATAATAATTTTCCATAAAGACTTAGTGGATCTTGCAGGACGATGGGGTTTTCTCAAAATTATATTCATAGACTTATGTTTTTCTTAAATGATCCAATTTAATTTTGAAATACATGCTTAGTCTTCAAAAATCATTTTACCGCATTCACTTTTAATTACCTACCAAGTCATGTTTATGGCAATTCCCAGATTGAGCGGTCTTCACACAAAGTGTCATATCTCGCCAACTTTGTATTGCCTCTCTCTGAAGTTTTACTGTTACAAACCATACTCATGGCACGCTATGACACCTTTGAATGAGCCCTAAAAAGGCTTCCATTATGAGGAATACAAAGATGTGCCTTAACAAATTGGTCAATTTCGGTTGCCATAGGCTCTATTTTTCAACCTCTTTAATCCCTAAAAAGTTTATGGTGGAATACCTTTCAATTCCTCGAGAAATTAAAAACTACAATTTTTTTTGAGAAATGAATTAAAAACTATGATCTTTAAAAAGTTTCATATTTGAACAAAAAAAATTGTTTTTTTTTTGACGAAATGGGGTTGTTTTGGGTGAGGCCAAAATGCCCCCGAGGGCCATCATCCCGCATTGAGCTGAATAGTCCTAGTGCGGGCGGTCAGGCCTTGCCACCCAAGCGGCGAGGTGGGCCGACTTTTTGAACATAGGTTTATGGATCTGCTCGTTTTACATTGTTTTTGGAGCTTAAAATTTAAGTTTAATATAAAAATAAATTTTCAGACCATCACAAGGGTTTTCTGGTACCTAAACTATGTGTGCCTTACTTTGATTGTTTAAGGTTGACACCTTATGTAAACCACACCCATCTTTCATTCTTACTATATCCTACAAAAATTGTCACAACAATTAATGGTTCATTCAATTTTCACATATGTTTTTCATCAAGCATGTGTCTTGATTGCAGAGCCTGGTAACTATTGTTTCATTTTTTAACATCTGATAACACCGAGTCCTCATGCACAATACAAACTTATATCAATGGGCGAGTTTCCATCAATGGAAAATTCCAAACAAAAATACGAGTGACAAATGGCCATTCAGTCTCTGCCATTACTGAGTGACAAAGGCATAGTCAGTCCCCCGGAGGGGGGGGGGGGGGGGGGGGAGGGGAAACGGGAGGGGCTCATTAGGTTCTGAATCCCAATTCACCTGGTTCGTCTTTGAACTACAAGGACTCGCTAGTGTTCCAATCCTGTAACCCAATCCAACTCAGGCATTTCCAAGCAGAATGGGAAATTTTAAACTAAAAATTTAAAAATTTTAAAAAATAAATAAGTGGAGACTCAACCGAGGTTTTCTCACTGGAATTGCATGCCTCTGTCCCGGGTGATTCCTGAGTTGGACCAGCTATTATTTATTCATTGCTACTAATAAAGTAGAATCCAAAGTTCCACCAGATATGGTGTGGCCGAAGATATCTCTAATCGCCCATGTTTGAATTAGCACACAATAGACCCAAACACCTCTCCTTGTACTTTTGCAATACAATGCCAATTCCAAGCAACATAATTGTTTTGGAAGCATTGTTGCCAAGAGTTGGTATGTTTTACAGATATGTTTGTGTGAACAAGGATTTGGGTGCTTTTTAGTTTATATGTCTCAGCGCATGGCATTAGTATGGTATTGGTATGATGTGGACGTGTTATTGAAATGGGCCTGAGTGCAGCATTCATACTATATGCATTCAATGTGAATGTGGTAGTTGGTTAGTTAGTGCTTATACTTGTGTCTCTGCGAACAAGAATAGTATAATGTATTTTGAAAGTGGGACCTTTGTCTTTCTTCTTTAATTTTTCGTGGGATTGATGAAATGAAATGGCAATAGGGACTGGAATGGTTTGACATGTTGCTTAAAATGTTTTCTTCTAATTCGTGATGTGCTTTGTAACAAACTTCAAACACATTTCTGGCGGTATTGTTGTTCTAGAAATGTCTCTGTATTAGTCCCTGATACTGGTTCTTATAGGAGCTCGTACAATGGGCAAAAAGTGATTCTAAGTAATCTATAGGTGGAGGCTTAGCCTTCTAAAGTCGATTATAACTGCCAGTATTATTTACTCAATCACAGTGAATGAGATTCTGGAAGGGAGCGAAATTTGTTGTTCTTGTGATTCTCATTCATGGTTTTCCTTTCTAGATCGTATTGTTGTTTTGGTTGGTCCAAGCAGCTTGGCTTTATCGAATACAGTAAACTTGCTCTTTATTTATTTATGAAACTCAACCAAAAATATCCCGAACATACTTCCACAAAGATGCATGCTATTTTTCATTGTAATTATTGGATTTGTTTTATCAAGTCTAGTTTTTAGTTGTTTTCTGCATCTTTACTATGCTAGGGCCCTCCTGGAACTGGAAAAACTTCCAGTATATTGGCACTTGCCCATGAGTTGTTAGGGACAAATTTTAAAGAGGCTGTTTTGGAACTCAATGCATCAGATGACAGGTATCCTGAGCTCTTGTAGACTTCCTCTTTCCTGTAAATGACATTTTTTTTGGGGGGACTTCTTCTTGCAAAGTTGAAGTTTAATGTTTCATATTCTTTCAGGGGAATTGATGTTGTGAGAAACAAGATCAAGATGTTTGCCCAGAAAAAAGTAACATTGTCCCCTGGTCGGCATAAGATAATTGTTTTGGATGAAGCTGACAGGTAATAATGCGAGCTCTCTCTCTCTCTCTCTCTCTCTCTCTCTCTCTCTTTTATCGTGTGGATTGCCGCGACCTGTTTGTCATCAATGTCAAACTCTGTTGAAGTGTTGATGTAGAAGACAAGAAATTAAAATCACCAAGTTTTGTTTTGTATAAGAGTTTGTGGTTTAAATTGCATTCACCTGGTCAATTTATTTTGCTGACATCAGATTTTCGTGGCATCACTATGTTTTGTGTCTCGTGATTATTCAGTATGACAACTGGAGCTCAACAAGCACTTAGGCGGACAATGGAAATATATTCCAATTCAACGAGATTTGCCCTTGCATGCAATACCTCGTCAAAAATTATTGAACCCATCCAGAGCAGATGTGCTATTGTTCGCTTTTCAAGATTGTCGGACCAAGAGATTCTTGGTCGCCTCATGATAGTGGTCGATGCCGAGAAGGTCAGTTTTCTTCATTTTTATTTTTTGAGGTCAAACACTAAAAGTTGATTCTTTGAATTGTGATTCTTTTTCAAATTTGAGTTTTATTTGATGTGGAATATATAACATTTCTAAAAGGGATTGTATACTATGGATGTAAGATTTGACATCTTGGAATGTGTCACAAAGATCGAAATTTTTTCTTTTGGACTTTGAGCCTGGTCAACGACACAATCCAACCGCCCGATTTCACATCTAATGGCCAAGGGTGATTGTGACCTCCTTGTACCAGGTTCGATAAGATAAAGGTTGGGGCCAGCTTGTCTTGTGTAAATAATATTTTTATTTGTTGACAAATTAATCTAACATGCTATTTTGTTTTGTGTGTGCATTTACTTTTTTGCTTTCTTTTGAATATTCTATAAGAGAATTTGTTTCAATGTGCTTCTGAGGCCCCAAGTTGCTGAAAAAACAAATTCAGAGGAACTTCATTTAAAAGATGTTGAATCATTTAGTTATGAAATGAAATTTATACAATGTAGAGAAAAATAGTGCCAGCGTGACATGTAATGTTTTGCACGTTTGGTTACTGTATTATGTTTTGTATCTTGGGTTGTGATGTTGGGGAACTCAAAAGTGAATTTGTTGCTCTAGTTCATAGTCTTCATCCTCATAGCCAAACATATCAGATCTGCACTTTTACCATTCCTAAGTTGCTGTGCATCCTTAATTGTTTATTTCCATCGTGTGCCCAGTTTGGACTCAGCCTTGTCATGGTGATACATGCTCTTGTAAAATGCATTTCTCAGAAGTAATCATATGTATTAGACTCAATGTGATCTGCCAACTCTAAGTTGATTGCCACATTAGGGATCATTGACTTCAGTTGAAGGGATGGATCCTGATATATCAAAAATTCCTCTTTTTCTTCTACGAAGAGCATCGCGTTTCTTGCTCCTTGCAGGGGCATTACTACCTCTAAATTGATCTGGAGCTTTTTATAGTCTTGGATTACTTATTGCGGGTATCCCTGTACACACATGTGCAGGCTACCAACCTTGACTGGTTTCTGGGAGCTACAAATGACCAGGCTTCTAGATTTCTATAATCTGGGTGGCAGTTTGGAAGTTATCTCATTTATGTATGAAATGTGGTTCATTAGTTTCCAGTTACACTAAAATTTCACGAGTTAATTTATGAGTTGAATACCGTTTATTGGTTTTTTAAGTTTCAACCAAATTGCACTGGATTTCTGAAATCATTAATTTCCTTTAGAAATGCTAATTTTGGTCCACACTAATCAGTTTAGATGGTTGCTTTAAACACCTATGGGCATTGTCTTTTGTTTGTTCTTCCTAAGATAGAAATTTAGATTCATCATCGTCAGAGCCTTTTCCCATTTAATTGGAGTTGGGGACACGGATCCTGGTCTGCCATTCTGCTCCAACCATGTCCTTTTACCCTTGCCCTTTTTGAGCTTTCCACTTGAACCAATTCGCACCTCCTAGCAAGTGTTGCACTGGGTCTGCACAACACATGGCCAGCTTACCTAAGTCTGCTTTCTTTCATCTTATCCCTTATTGGTGCCACACCTAAACTCTCCCGAATGTATTCATTTCAAATTCTATCCTTTCTTGTCTTGCCGCTCATTCATCTCGACATCATCATCTCAGCCAATGTTTTAAAATGCTGGATGTGGCCGAAAGTGGTGGGGGGGGGGGGGGGGGGACCGATGCGGCGATGCGGTCAATAAATATAAAAAATTCTAAAAAATCTAAAAAAAAAATAGGTTAATGCATAAAAAAAATAAAATATAGAGGTGGTATATGTGATTAGGTATTTAGTTTATTCATTAACTCCAAAAGTATTAGCTATCGCTTATTCTGTATCAACTATTGATGCAAATAAAATTATGTTTTAATTTTTTAATTTATTATTCTTTTGTTTATTTTCTTTAAGAATAGGAATAGGATAAGTTAAAGTGAGAGGAGGTGCTTGAGTTGTCAAGAGAATTTTGGGGATTAGATAGGAAATAATATTGAAAAGGTAATCTTGATAGCATGTTTAGTTAGATTTAGTGAGAGATTGAAGGAGGATTTAATTATGAGAAAAATATGGGAGTTAGATATAGGAAGGATAATGGGAGTTTGTGAAGATGGGGGGAGTTTCCTCGATTCAAGGGACTCCACGTGATGGGTAGAGAGAGTTTAAATGAATTAAAAAAAAAGGAAGGAGGAAGAGAGAAAATAGGGAGATGAAGAGAGAGAAAATATGGAGCTTGGAAAAAAACGTGCAACTTAAAGAGAGATATTTTTTTAGTTATTGTTTATCTTTTTTAGTCTATTTAAAGGGAGATATCCCTTCATTATAAAGGATCAAATAATGATTAGAGAATGATCAAAGAATGAGAATTGAGAAAAGTTGATCTTGTGAAAAGATCTAAATTGAAAAAAGTTGATCTTGTGAAAAGATCTGAATTGAGTAAAGTTGATCTTATGAAAAGATCGTTTTTGGGGTGGACTCCTTTGCAGACCTTGAAAGAGTCTATAATATCTTAAACCTTTATTTATTTTTTATTTTTTGGTTGGTTATTGTTTTCTCTCTGCATCAACTATCCCTTGATAGAAACTAGAAACTTGAAACTAACTTCATAAAACATTCAACAATCAACAACCAACAACCATAAGCACAAATCTGCAACCACAAACTTTAAAGGTACAAATTATTACAAACTACAACTCCATGAAGATTAAAGAGTTTTAAAGTCAAGCTCAAGAAGAGTCGATACAATCATCATCTTCATGGCCCTTGAAACCTTCGATTTGTTGTCACATGTTTGCTTAAACTTCCTCAAATCAACACCCAAAAGATACAAATCAACAACCAAACATGAACAAATGCACAAATCGACTTATAAAAAAACAAATGCACAAATCGAAGAACTTCAACCAATAAAATTTCCGCCCAAAATTTTTTTTGATTCAATCGATCCAATAAAAGCCATGGATGTGGCTGAAAAATGTTGTTTGGGGGGTTTAATACCCCCTCAAACCCTTTTCCCCTATTTTTGAAGGTCAAAATGACCTTATTAGCTCTGCCCAAGGGGTATATTTTTGAAAAAAATCGTAGACAGATTATGTGGCCTATTGTGGCTTTGATGGGGGATGCGGCTCTGATACGGAGAGATACGGTGCATATGCAGTCGCATAACTCCAAACCGCATATGCGGCCAAGTTTGATGCACCGGGCAACGCATATTGCATGATGCGATCCCATATGCGTTGATGCGGCCGCATTTCAAAACACTGATTTCTGCTACACTTATTCTATGGGTATATTGTTTCTTGCGCGCTCAACATTTTGCCTTATAAAGCAAAGCTGGTCTTACAGCTGTTCTATAGAACTTGCCCTTCAGCTTCATAGGTATGTGGCAATCATATAAAATTTCAGTTGCACATCTCCACTTCACCCACCTAGTTTTAACTCTATGTGTGACATCTTTCTCAATATCTCCATTTTCCTTTATTATTAACCCAAGATAAGTACGATCTCATTTGTATTTCTTGGCTATCAATATTAACTACTTCCTCATCTTTTCTCCTATTATTACTGAAGTTTCCTTCCATATACTTCGTCTTAGTCTGGTTATTTTTAAAACCTTTAAATTCTATAGCATCCCTCCAAAGATCTAACTTTGTGTTGATGTCATTTCAGGTCTTATTGATCAAATCTATGTCGTCCGCGAATAATATGCATCCTGATACCTCATCTTGTAGGTGCCTAGTTCAGTCGTCCATAACTAAGACAAATAGGTATGAGTTCAATGTTGATCCCTGATGTAGACCTATTGTCACTAAAAACTCGCTCGTATCTCCACTAGTTGTTAATACACTAGTTAGCGTTCCCTCGTACATATCTCTCACCAAGTCGATATAGTTTTTGGAGACTCCTTTCTTTTCCAACACCTACCAAATCAAATCTTGAGAGGAAATTTTAGATTAAATTGAAACACTACCTAAATGTTCCTAAAAGCATTTAAATGTAAATTATCTGGTCGAAAAATTTCCCATACGGTCATAAGTGCATGCCGTGTTAATTGTTCTTTTGATTAGTTTGAATGATCTTGTTCTTTTTTGGGTAATTCAGTGGGGATGACAAACACTTACCTGTTTTTCGAAATCGTTAGTGGTTTTTAATGCGTTAGGTGAGAATGGAAGCCTAGACTTTAGTTGCTCATCTCTTTGTATTAAAGGTGCTTGGTCTTTGGAACTTGTAAACACCTGTGTGTCCAATCATGTGCATTTAATAAGCCGACGATGTCACATATAAACTTATGATTATCATTGAGTCCCACTTTAGTTTTCCATTGTTCTCCTTAGCCAGCTTGTTTGGATTCTGGCTAGCCACAAGCCACCTTAAGATATTTGTCAATCTATGTTAAAAGCGTCCTGATGTATCCATTCATACAGTCCCTATCTGCAAGTGGCTGTTCTCGATTAACATTCATCTCTACCATAGCTTCTGAAAAAAAGAAAAGAAAAAGGAAAATAGAAAGGAAAATCTAGTTCTGTGTCATAATTTATGGTATTATACTTTTCTGGGGTCCCACTTGTTGGAATGCTGGGTGCACTGCTGTCCTTATGCATAGATCTATGTAAATGGATAAATATTCTTTTAAATTCATAAAAAGGGACTGTGACATACTGCTTTCCTATCCTCTTAACAATGCCATACTGCCCTCCTGTCCTCCCAATTGGATTGTATATTCTGAATTTGAATATTATTGATTTTATCTGGAGAGACAGATGAAGGATCAGAGATTTTTTGCTTTGTAAGATCACGTGCTTAGGGATTTGATTAGATGCTGTGGCAAAATATGCTTTATAGATATAGGCATATATACCACACCATATCTAACATTAACTCCCGAAGCATATGATCATATACAAAACAAATCCCTATGCATAAGGATGGGTGTCCTTCTTAAAGTGCAAAGATATGGCCCGTGTTCTCATCAAATTGTAGCACCCTTTCTTCAGATGTCACTTGGTTGATGTATTCCTTCAACTACGACATATATCGCCCACTTCACTAAATGGAAACTGTCACCATCATTCCTACTTCACATCTTAAGCATTTGTGCTATTACACCAGGGATGCAAAATGATCATATAGTGAATAGCTAAATGTTTTGGATGTGACATCCTTAATTGAGAGACTCTATCCTCAAGAAATAAATAGTTTCTCCTTGTTAATGTCAATCTCCTCTTATAACATTCTGCGATCTGAGCTCATACACATTTTACATTTGTTTTACAAGCATTTCACCTTCGTTTCCCATGTGCTTCATATGTGTTTCACTTGTTTTTGAGGTGCTTATTGCTTCCTCTCTGAAAGCTCCCACCTGCCCTTGGCGCTTTTGGTAAGTATGGTCTGAACAGAGCCTAAATTGTACAACGTCTATGGTTTAAGGAAACAAGGCAAATCGCTAAGGAACCACATTTGCCATTGTTATTTCTTCATTAATGTTGGAGCCTTCTTAAAGCGCTCACTCAAATGTGTTTGGAATTTAGATGGAATGTGCCATTACTGGGTTGAATTTTTGGCACAAATTATGGAGAATTGGTTGAGGAGTAGGATTTGTTCGAGACACGCAACATAGGTTTAAGGCCACCTAACTGTTTCACATCACTATCCTGATGGGCAATTCATATGCGGTTTTTCTGATGGCAATGTGACACAACGGCGTGGCTTTTACCCTATATTAAGTGTTGGCAGTCACCTTTGATTTTACTTTGAATAATAACCAAGGTCTAAGAAGCTGACTGCCTATGGAATTTTAGTTTCCTAGGCAACTTCTTATGGTGTTTCAAAATTTGAGTGAATTTCAGTGACATCCTAGTGGAAAGGTAAGGTCTTCTCCTGAATATACGAGTTAAAACAACCATCAACGATCTTGCCCACCATTCATTATCAACTTAATGACCTAGATAAAATTTTCTTTGCCTTGTCTTTCAAGATCCTTTCGTTTAGTATGCCTAACCTTTCGAATAGTTTAGACTTTAGTGCCATGATGATTTCTTTCATGCATGTTGTTGTAGAATCACTTCAAAATTTGAATTGCAGGCTTTCTGATTTATGCCTTACATTTGCTATTAAATGTTTGTGTTTGGCTATTTACAAGGTATTGTTTTAATATGCTACTTGATGATTATTTGCTTTAATTATGCGATATTGGTTTATGCAAATTAGGTACCTTATGTGCCAGAAGGACTTGAAGCTGTTATATTTACTGCCGATGGTGATATGAGGCAGGCCTTGAATAACTTGCAAGCCACGTATAGTGGCTTCCGATTTGTCAATCAGGAGAATGTTTTTAAGGTTGGACTTTCCACTAATTATTTTGGGGATTTTTTTTTATGAAGGATATTTTTTTTTGGTGGTTTTTTTGACGCATTATTTATTTTTTTGGGATTTTAGATGATTTATTCATTTGGGAATTTACACTATTTATTTTTGGATATGCTAATGAGAATCTTACAATGTGACCCCTATTGATATACACCAAGAATTTGGACATTGAATTTTGATACCTTCCTTGCAAAACATATTGGCAGGTGCGTTTCCATAATTACCAAGGGAAGCACATGAGTTAGTGGTTAAAGAATTGACATTTTTCAGTTGATGAGGCCTTTATGGTATTACTAAATAGGTCGTTAAGTTCTGCACCAATAAGTTCCATTGTGCCCTTGAAAAGTACCAAAAACACTTGAATGTTTTCCATGAATGTTTCTATGCAATATGGACATGCGTGTCTGCAGTTTTGCATGTTTCAGCATATTAAGATCCTACACTTCTATCTTGACACCTGAGAAACCCAGACCCTACTTAATTTATTTTCTTGAATTCCCACTATAAAAGTACTTAATGTACATCCAACCACGAGTGCCCTTCTCTTGTCTATGCAGCAGAGGTGGGGGTTAGTGCTTGTTTTACAATGCTTCACTCTATGGTTGGTGTTGTGTATTTTTAACTTTGGTAGATAAAGCACAATTAAAAACTATGCAGAGGTTCATGGTGAGGTTCAAATGCAATTCATTTGGACCTACTATCCTTTTTGCTACTACCCCCCCATCCAATGTCATGGAAAATGGAATTATATAATTTATTAAAAACAATGTTTTATGTACAAGTCCTTTATTTTACCACGTACTTAAAATTTTTTTAAGCTGAACTACTAAACACTTTCGTAGGGTGCATGTTTGCATATTTCTTTCTATTAATTCTTATGCCCTTTTTCATAGTTACAAATATCTACCTGTTTGAGCTCTAAGTGCTCTAAATGTTTCCAGGTTTGGATGACGGAATTGACTTTCTTGTATTTTATATGTTCAGGTTTGTGACCAGCCTCACCCTTTACATGTCAAAAACATGGTTCGAAATGTGATAGATGGGAAGTTTGAGGAGGCCTGCTCTGGTTTGAAGCAACTCTATGACTTGGGTTATTCTCCAACAGACATTATTACGACCCTCTTCCGTATAATCAAGAACTACGATATGCCAGAGTATTTGAAACTTGAGTTTTTAAAGGTATGGGTTGGTTTCTTATTTATTAGTACAGGAAAATGATCATACAAGTCAATTAATATAGGCTGGACGGTCTAGATTGAAGGAGAAAGAGCTGAAGGGCAGATTTGTTAGTAAATTATATATTGAAAAAGGTAAGGAGGGGCATGATGGACCACAAATTTTGGGCATATGTAGGTCTCATCTAGATGCTCAAAATAAAAAAGGTAAGAAAATTAGATTCACACAAATTTTTTTGGGTAAAATGAGTCCGCCATTCATGGTTGTTTGGATCATCTCTTCTTCAATTTGGCCATCCGGCCTAGACAATGCTATAGGCCCGCCTAGACTATGCTATAGGCTAGTCTTTGCTTGGAGTCATATTCCTAGAAGTCCAACATTTATTCATAGGTCCACTTTTTTACACAACCCAATGTTATAAAGGATGGTATATAATAAAACCTTTTACTTTTGGTACAAAAGGGTCACAACCACCCTATCCATTAGATGTTAAATTAAGTGGATAGGCGCTTGTCATTTCAATGCACAAATTTTAAAAGAATTAGCACAAACTTTGAGCATGATCAATAGTACACCTCCACTTATTTGATTTCACATCTGTTTGCTGGGGTTGATTGTTACCTTTTTGTACCTGAGGTAAAACTTTATTGTGTACTTTCCCTTTTTAGTGATACAATTCTGATTTTTCGTTTGGCTTTTCTTTGACTTAGTGCATGAAATGACATTGTAGGAAACTGGATTTGCTCATATGAGGATTTGTGACGGAGTTGGTTCGCTCCTCCAATTGTGTGGTCTCTTGGCAAAGCTCTCTCGTGTTCGAGAAACTGCTAAAGCTGTATAGTTCGATCTTTGATGTTTTTACTGTTTGATTTCCATAACCCTAGGTTTTTTATTTGCTTTGCTGTGATCACTTTTCTGGCTGGAGCTCAGTCTCCTTTTTTCATGAGAGAGAGTTCTTGTTTCATACTTTTTGTCCATTCTTACATGGATGTTGATATGAGTATTATGTCTGATACATGTGTAAGGTGTGGTGTCAAAAAAAAATAGGCGCATAAAGTCCAAAATAAAAATTTTCGAATGTTGTGACAGATTTCAATCTATTAAATTTTACATCCTTTGTCTAAAATTGATTGTGACCTCTTTGTACCAAAAGTAGATGGTCTTAGAGTATATATATATATATATATATATATATGATTCAATCTACAAAAATTGTACATACCCTCTCTTCATCCCAGTGGTCAATTTCCAAAAAAAAAAAGAAATTGAATATGCATCATAGATTTGTTTAAAATGAGTCCCTTCCAGTAATGAATCTAGACCATCCATTTGGTCAATTTCAAGATTTAGGGTGGCTGGGCATTCAAACCCTCGAAGAAAATAATCTTGCTCTACTTGGGAAATGGTGGTGGCGCTTAGCTACCCAAAACAACCATCTCAAGCAGGAGGTGATCAACTCAAAATACCACAGTTTTGACCCCTCTGGGGTACCCTCCTGATGAGCGCATAGCAACTCTAGGATATGGAAGTCCATACTGCGTTCTTATCCACACTTTCAATCCATGATCTGGTACAGGGCTAGGCAGGGTGACAAAACGTTGTTTTGGATCGATACTTGGTTGGAGGATGCGCACCTTAAAGACCTATACCCTAGACTTTTCCTCTTGGCCAATGACTTTAATGCAACGGTGGAATCTCAGTTTTAGCTGATGGGCCATAGGAGGGTGTGGAGTCCTACTCTCAAAAACCACTCTCGGATCTAGAATTTCGAGAATTCACATCCCTTTCTATCACTCTAAACTTAGTCTTCCTGTCCCTTCGAGGCCACTCTAAACTTAGTCTTCCTGCCCCTTCGAGGCCAAGATAGCCTTATCTGGACCCCCAACCACTCGGGTTCCTTCTCGGTGGCCTCCTTCTACTCTTCTGATCTTCTCTAGCTCATCCCTGAAGCCCCCCTGCTTGCCCCAATTCTATTGTAAACAAAGTTTGGATCCCTTTGGTTCCCCCCAGGATTCAATTCTTCAATTGGATAGCTGGATTCGAGAGAGCCCTTACTGTAGATCAATTGCAGAGAAAGGGTCTCCAAATCCCAAATAGATGCATTATGTGCACTGAGGGCGAGGAGACCAATGCTCACCTCTTCATCCATTGCAAGGTAGCCTCGTCTATATGGACTGACATCCTTCAGTTATTCCAATGGTCCACCTGATGTCCCACATCTCATCGGTTCTACGTTCTCAACCCCATGGCCTAAGGCCGGCACCTTCTTGTGGTAGGCCTCAGTGGCTGCCACCCTTTGGACAATTTGGACTGAGAGAAATGCCAGAATTTTTCGAAGCCAGTCATCTCTGTGAATGCACTAGTAGAAAATATCAGAGAAGCAGTCATCTTCTGGGCCAGTCATAACAAACAGTTCAAAAACCTTTGCCACTTTGACTTTCTCCAACCCTGGACTCCCATTCTCTCCTTCAAAACTCAGAGGCCATCATGCTTTTCCCTTTGGAGACCACCCCAAGAGGGTCACATCAAGCTTAAATTCGATGGGTGTTCTCTCGGAAACCCAGGCCATGCAGGCATAGGCGGCATGTTTCGCGACCACAACAACAATACCCTTTGCTCCTTTCCTATTCCCATTGGTGCATCTGATTCAACAATTGCGGAGGCCTCTGTCCTCCGGGAAGGCCTCAGAAAGTTAGACACTAGCTGGGGGCAGTATGTAACCGTTGAAGATGACTCTTACAATGTTATAGCTTGGGCCTCAGGCACTGCCCCTGGCCTTGGAGGCTTGACAACATATTCGAAAAAATCTGTCAACTCACAAGGAATCTACAAATTTTGTGGAATCACATTTGGAGAGAAGCAAATGGTAAGGCCGATTCCCTAGCAAAGGCAGCTGCAACCTTGTCTCAAGCCAACCTGAGCAAACTTAGTGAACCTTTGCTCGACTCCCTATCACAAATTGGACTTGATATAATGGCTCAATTCATGTAAAGCTTTTTTGATACACCCTTGGCTTTGTACAGAGCAGCCGTTTGTGGGCTTCTTATTTTTTTGGGTGGAACTTGTCTGTGAGTATCCTGCCCCCCGCTCCTCTCACATTCTGTACTCACTTTCTGTTCAATACAGTCAACATATTAAAAAGTTAAACATTATTCATCTAATGATAATAAAGCTATCTAAACAAATGGACGGCTTATGATGATTGGGCTAAAAAAACACTTTTTAGGGTTTATTTTCAAAATTTGTTTTTTTTTTTGTGATTGTTCAATGGAATGAAAAGAATGTACATTTAAAAACTGGGATTAAACAAATGGAACTAACATGGTTTTCAAGGTTGTTGCATTGTATTACTATAAACTGTACCCCTTTAAAGGGAGTTTCAAGCCACTGGTTTTTCTTCAAAGAGTTTTAAAGTATGTAAACCATATTACTATTGGTTTTCTTGTTGGGAAAGTTCCCATGGTCAATCTCATATTTCTTTTTAAAAATTTTGAAATTTAGAGAGTAAATTGAAAACCATATGGGATTATGTTTGGACCAGGGGAGTTCACATATTAGACCTCTTTCCTGGTGTTTTATGAACCCACCAAAGTATTAACTCAACACTTTAGTCTAGATGTAGTATTCATTATGCATGTAAAAGTATGTGAAAGTATAATAAAAGATAAGGTTGTTTCTCAAAGATGTATCAAGACAAAGTTTGAGTCTGACAGAATTATACCCAAACATATATTTCCCCAATTCATTTGGTAGCTAGATGTTAGATTTGTGTTATTTTCATATCTTTTTCATATGATACTGTCTATAAGCTGGATCCCTATAACTGAGTAGATTAATACTTAGTTAAAGTGTGTGACACGATTCACTTTTACTTTAACCATTTGCACATCCATTTGATTTATGTTAGTTATTTCAAGTCCTTAAAGCTTGTTGAATATAATCATGAGGGGGTAAGTCCAGTCATGTCGAGTTTGGTCTCTACAAAAGCTCTATATCTAAGAGATATAATTATTTATATTTTATTTATACCCACCATTCTTCTCCAATCTGCTAGTCCCTGCGTTTGGGAAGGGAAGATTAGGGAGGTGAGTTATAGTTATTTGTATTTTACTTGTACTAAACATTCTTTTCCAATCTCCTAATCCCTGCGTTCGGGAAGTGAAGATTAGGGATCTCCTAGTCCCTGCGTTCGTGAAAGGAAGATTAGGGAAGTGAGTTATAGTTATTTGTATTTTACTTGTACTAAACATTCTTCTCCAATCTTCTATCCTGCGTTCGGGAAGGGAAGATTAAGGAAGAGAGTTATAGTTAATTGTATTTTACTTGTACTAAACATTCTTCTCCAATCTCCCTCTCAGTGCTCGGGGAGGGACGATTAGGGAAATCGTATTGATTGATGCTTTCTCTATACCTCTGGAAAAAGCATGAAAAAAACCCCTCAAATGGTACGATCCCCCGTTGCCTCGAATGATAAGGGTGATCTTGTAGTTCTTTGTTTATGAAGATGCGTTGTTAGCTGCTCCATTTTCCCGGTACAAGGTGGTCACAATTACTTACAACCATCCGATGTGAAGTTTGATAACTTGGATGTGTCACAAAGTTCGAGAAAATTTCTTTTGAAGTTTGAGCTTGGACAATGGAATAATTGCAGTGACCCAATTTCACATCCAATGGTTAAGATTAATGTCTCACCTTGAACCAAAGGTAAATGGTCTCATTCTATATTTTCTCATGAAGGTGCACCTCCAAATTTGATCATGATTAGATCATAACATGTTATTTGTTGTAAAATATTCTTAGGATTATTTTAAAATATATTTTCATATCTAATTAGAAAATTTTTAAATCCAAAAATAGTTAAAATCAAGTAGATCTATAAACATATAAAAATCTTGAAAATGGACGATCTAGATAATGTGTTGCAAGATGCACTATTACTGGGACTCTAAAGACTATTTTTTTTTTTCATATTCATACATCTTAATGTTGAGATAACATCAATTAGAGAGTTTTTAACATTAAACCAACCTTTCGATAGATTTTTGGGGTGCTTCTGTAATTCTACATTTTAAAGTTGCGACCTTATATAAACTTTTTCATATATATATATATATATCTTATCTTGGCAGAGAGCCAAGAATACACCATTGGTATTTGATTCTGGTAAAAGGGTGAGTTGGATACTTCACCCTAACATGGTCTTGCTATTTTATGTATGAATGCTACGTGGGGTTGAATCTCCTAACAAAATATGGCACTTTGTCATTTTGGTTTTGCTTTAACGGATATTTGTGATTATGAGACGTAAATTTGTATTTTGAAAGATTGTTTAATGGCTAAAATTAACTTCTTTTTAACTTACTCAGAAATGGATGATACAAGTAATGAGCTAGTGGATACAGAAATGAATGATACAAGTAATGGGCTAGGGGATACTTCTTTCTAATGAATGTTAAACTATGATCATCTTTGTTTACTGATGTCTTATATCTACAGGTGTCAAGTACTGGAGTTTATCCCATAATTGTTGATAATATTTTTGGACAAATAGCTGTTGATAATATTTTTGGACAAATAGCTCAGATTATTTACATGTGTTTGCAGCTGAATCTAGTAACTGTAGTGAAATCCAGTAACAAACCCATCAAGTCACTGTAATGAAATCCAGTAACAAAGCCATCAATCCAGTAACAAAGCCATCAGTATTAAAATCTATTAACTTTACCTGCCCTGTTTTATTTGGAAGAATGTTTCAAGCATCCATCTTAAAGATGGATGCAAATAGATGATCCATCTAAAAACAATTGAAACTAACTGTCCAAATATTTTCTTAATAAAATTATTAATTTTAATTTTTAAAATTTATTTATTTATTCATATTCATGATGCTCATGGTAGAGTTTACATGTCCTTAAAAATTAGGTCTAAAAATCCATCTCAAAGGTAAAATTTTAAGATGACTCATTTTTACATGGACTTGTAGAAACTGTTCTTTTTTTTTCTCTCATTTATAGATATAGAATTGAAATGAAACCAGAAAATTAAAAAGAATTAGATTAGAATTTAAGTGAAACAAGAAAAATAAAAA